TAAAGCAGTCCCTTTATCATCTCTTGCAATACTGGTTTGGTGGAGATGTATTCTTTTAGGCTTCTTTTGTCTGGGAAACTCCTCATTTCACCTTCCATTTTAATTGAGAGCTTTGCTGGGTAAAGCAGTCTTGGTCGCAGACCTTTGCTTTTCATTACTTGGACTATTTCTTGCCATTGCCTTCTGGCTTGCAGTGTTTCTGTTGAGAAGTCAGCTGCAAGCCATATTGGGGCTCCCTTATATGTTACTACCTCTTTCTCCCCTGCTTGCTTTAGGATTCTCTGTTTGTCTTTGATATTTACCATTTAATGATGATGTGTCTTAGAGTGGGCCTCATTGGGTTCCTCTTGAATGGGACCTTCTCTGCTTCCTGGGCTTGTGTGACTTTTTCTCTCCTCCCATCGGAAGTTTTCCATCATGACTTTTTCAAACAAGTTCTCTATCCCTTGCTCCTCTTCTTCTCCTTCTGGTATCCCTACTATACAGATATTATTACTTTTCAGGTTGTCTTGTATTTTCCTCAACACTTCTTCATTCTTTTTGAGTCTTTTTTCATTTCCTTGCTCTTTCTGGGAGCTCTTTTCTACCTTGTCCTCCAGCTCACCAATTCGATCCTCAGCCTCATCTAGGCTTCTTTTGATTCCTTCTACTGTGTTCTTCAATTCAGAAATTGTATTCTTCATTTCCTCTTGTCTCATTGATAGTTTCTATGTCCTTTTTCATGCTGATATAATTTGCAGTAAGTCTTCGTAGTTTCTCTTTAGCTTTCGGTAATTCTCTCTGAGCTCACTGAGCTCATTGAGCTTCCTTAGAACCATTGTTTGGAACTCAATATCTGATAGTTTATTTACCACTATTTCATTTAGTTCTCTTTGTGGGGATTCCTCCTTTCCCTTCAATTGGGGGGTATTTCTTTGTCTTCCCATTATTTGTGAGACTCTTTGTTTTTGCTCCTGCTTCTTAAATTGATCTGTCTTGACTTCCTGACTTTGTGGTGTGAACTTCTATGGTAGGAGACCGCTGTTTTTACTTTCTGGATCTGCCTCTGATGATGTCATACATTGTTCCTGTCTGGACTTAGTCAGTCTGTTTGAGACTTCCAGGAATCTACTGTTTGTGGTTGTCTCCTTCAGCTATTAATCTAGTCACTCTACACACAGCAGGTGGCCTTAGACAGCTCAGGGCAGGGCAGAGTCACTCCTGGGGGTAGGGTTATTGGGTCCTCTCCCGCTGCTGTCCTATGGTGGAGGAGTCCACACTGGGATCCTGCTGGCTACTCTATCATTTCTCTCCCCAAAGCCTCCGTCCCCAGTCTCTTCAGGGTCTCTAGCCCACTCTGCCCCCACATTTGCCAGAGATCAGGGTAAGTGGCTGCAAATAAAAATTTATTCATTGGCCCTTTAACACTTATTTGCATCTCCAGCTGCCCATTTCTGGCAGAGAGAAACCTTGCCGCTTTTCGCTGCTGGTTGTTTTCTCTGTACTTTTTGGGCTCTGGTGTTGTGGGCTAGAGGTCCCCACTTTTGGTTTAGACCCCAGTCTTCTCAGGGGGATCCAACTGGCCTTTTCAGTATCCTTCTGGTGCTGCCACCCATGGGCACCCCACCCACCTTCTCGAGTCTCTACCACACTCCTTACTGGTTAGATTGCACTAAAGCCGATTCTCCTTTCTCCGAGGTTACAAGGTTCCTCTCTTGCTGTTGTTCAATTGTTTGTTCCAGGTGATTTCTCCACTATTTAGTTGTATTTCCAGGTTGGTCCTGGGAGGAAGTTAGTGTCATTTCCACTTACTCCTCCACCATCTTGAAAATCCCCATTTGAATTTCTTAAGCAACGAAATTTTATTTTGGCAATTCAATCTTAGTGACAGGACTAGGTATAACTTGTCCTTGGTTTGGTTTGCAGACATGAGTGGAATTAGCAAGATGTTTTAGTTTGGAAAGAGGATCACCAAACGTTGGAGGTGAAGTAACCTTGGAGATGATCTAATCCAGATTGCCAATGGGGTTGACCAGCATCACACAGAGTTGCTTGGAATGTCTGCTTCATTTGCTATGTAAAAACACAAGTCTATGTGCTAGAACTAGAGAAACCACCAGCTCTATAGGCCAATTGTTGGAGGTAACAGTATTAAAAACCTAAGTCCTGCACAGTTATGATAAATGAAGAAATACCTAAATACCATAGGGCTTGCTATACTAAAGAAAATCTCCATGTTTGAAAGTGTATCCTGTAGGTTAGAGCAAAAATTCACATTTGTTATATTTATTGGGTTAAAAAACTACAATAAGACAGTAAACTTGTATTTGGCTTATTGCATCACATATCATCCTTGGTGTATATTGAAAAATCTGTCTAAGGAGTTGTCTTTCTGGAAGAACTACAAGTTTCCCAAGATATTTAAAATAAGCCATTTCTTTACATTGGGAGCAAATGGATTTTGACAGATTGAATGTGAACATGAGACAGAAAGTAATGCACTTCAATACCTTATGGTTCTTTGACATGAATGTGGGGTCCCTAAGGTCTGTAGTGTTTGGTTTATTTTTTTTTTCTTTAACAATTCTTTTTCTTCAAGAATGTACTCCAGTATATTTTCAGGTGTTGAAGGCATCCATATTTGTGAAGTTGCCATCAACTAGACCACAGACTGCATTAATAATACAATGCTTCATTATTTCCCAATATGAGCTACCAAAGTAAAATCACCTGCAATCTAGCTCTAATTGTGGAGTCAAGGGAATCTGAACGTCCACCTTGGACCGTCCACTTTGTTTGTTGTCCAAAAGGTTGAAAGGTAATAGATGGTTTCATTTGTATTTCTATTTTTCTTCTGTGATAAACATCAGTAAAATGAATCCAAAATGGGCAGGTGAACAGATAAGAAGGTATCGAAAATCTAGAAAACTGATTATCAGTACAAGAATGATGACAGTCATCCCAGTACTTAAAATACCCAAAGGCATATTAGCAACAATGTGACCTCCTAGAAAATAAAGAGGGATCTAGTCCTTTATGGTAAGAGCTTAGAGAATGGATGGGAGCTGATCAGTGCTTCCTACAGATGATCTCAGGGACAGAATATTGTAAATGTCACCTTGCCATTGGCTCCTGAGGGTAGAGATTCAAGGTGAGCATTCCGTTCTTGCCTTTAATAAACCTCCGAGCCCATTGTCTATGGGTTTACCTAAACCTTCACAGTCTCCTAAGATAGGTGAAGAGAATCTTTATTGTAATGTGTTGATCTGCATTTTTAAAGGAAACTCTGAAGTATGCTCAAGTAAATAGTACTTAGTTTTGTTTGAGAATAAAATATAAAAGAACTAATAATTAAATACTGTTCTTTAACTTAAGGAACCATAAATCTTTATTTAATATCTGCAACACATTCTGAAATATATTATGCCATGGTTTTACTTTATAGCAATTTAAAAAGAAAGTTAGGAGCTGGAAGAAAAAAATAAAGCTATAAAGAAGACATAAGAGGAGAAAAGGGGAAGGTAATAAGAATGGCCCAGAAGGAAAGATATTTAGAAGGATAGAGAAGAGGGAAAAGAAGAAAAGTTCAGAAGTCCTAATGTCAGTTAGAGATAAACTAATTTTTTTCACAGTCTGATGTTTACTGATCTGTGTAGCCTCAGGATGTTTAATCATTGTCTTTTGAAGTGTGTACTAGATGCTGAATCTTAAAGCAGTCACTGTCAGAGGTACAAATGATAACCGAGACCAGTGACACCTCCCAAGGTCTTTGGCAAAGGTCAGATAAAACCAGGCCAGACATGACTAGGTAAGGTTGGTGTCAGGCTTCCTTCTTCTCCAAGAATTGTGTGCTCTAGGTACATAATGTTTTCATTAAGCAAATAAGTGCTTCCTTCCACTGCCTTCCAACCTTAATCTCCATGCCATGCTTTATCAACTTGGAACACTGGGCTCCGCTGAAGAACTCCAGCTTGGGCTGTCTGAACCTTATATGGTTTTACAGATTTCCCACATATTTGTTCTTAGCCTTTATCTTTCAAAACCAAAGTTCTGTTCATTTCAGTCTATAGGAAGAACTTTCACAACAACCATGAAATAACTATGTTGGCTTCATTTGACAAATTTGGAAACTGAAATCCAGAGAGGTTAAATAACTTGCCCAAGGTTACACAGTAAACAATAAGGTCAGGCTCTGAGCTGGGAATGTCTGACTGTAAAATCCAGTCACTGGACCCTCATCTTCCATATCCTTGAACCTTCATTCTTCCTTCCACATATGGTTTCTGGCTCCCCTGCCTACAGTGTCAGCTCCACACCCAGATCACCATGGACAGTCTTCAAGCTCTTCTTCATGAAACCTTTCTGGACTGAATGAAGTTGGCTCATAATCTCCCTTCCCGACATGAGGCTCCCCAGAGCCCACGTATCCCAGGATGAAGGCTTTCCTGAATCAGTTTTCCCTTCAGTGCTAACCACATAAGTAGCATAAGTAGTATTTGTTCTGAGACAAACACTCTTGTCCCAAGTGCCATTATTATCTCTCTGTGTGTAGGTCAGCATTCGTGTTTTTAGTTGTAGAATAAAACTTCTTGGAAACATGAATCCCTCTAGCTTATGATGCATGTAATGCAATTCACTTAAGAAAACACAAACCAGGGGGTTAAGAGAGAAAAATTCCCATAACTTAGACAGGAGAGATGATTACTCCACCAAAACTATTCCAAGTGGTGGTTATTCCTAGAAATGTGCCTATGAACAATGGTCAAGGAAAGGAAAAATGGATTTTTTTTTTCAAATCATGTAGGCCCTAGAATTTAAATGTATATACTACATTAGGCTTCTGAGTGAAATGAACTCATAAAAAGTGAATGTATTGCTATTAGTTAGGGAATTATTGTAAAGTTACCTTCTTAGAATATCTTTGAGCAATCCACATCCATTAACAAATGATAAATCCATGTCTCCTAGCTGCCTAAGTAACCAAGAGGATTTGCTCACTTGGGCTTTCTTCTCTTTTCCAGATCTTGGCCATCGTGTCTATCCTGTTCATCGTACTCTCTACCATTGCTCTCTCTCTCAACACCCTACCAGAGCTTCAGGAAACAGATGAATTCGGACAAGCCAATGACAACCCCCAGCTGGCGCATGTGGAGGCAGTGTGCATTGCTTGGTTTACCATGGAGTACCTTTTACGCTTCCTATCCTCCCCAAATAAGTGGAAGTTCTTTAAAGGTCCACTCAATGTCATTGACTTGCTGGCCATCTTGCCATATTACGTCACCATTTTCCTCACGGAATCCAACAAGAGTGTACTGCAGTTCCAGAACGTGAGGCGTGTGGTTCAGATCTTCCGCATCATGCGGATTCTCAGGATCCTGAAACTTGCCAGGCACTCGACGGGCCTGCAGTCTCTGGGTTTCACCCTCAGACGGAGTTACAACGAGCTGGGCTTGTTGATATTGTTTCTGGCCATGGGGATAATGATATTTTCCAGCTTGGTATTTTTTGCTGAGAAGGATGAAGATGCTACAAAGTTCACCAGTATCCCAGCATCGTTTTGGTGGGCTACCATCACCATGACTACTGTAGGCTATGGTGACATCTACCCAAAAACGTTACTGGGGAAAATCGTGGGCGGCCTCTGCTGTATTGCAGGTGTCCTGGTGATTGCCCTTCCCATCCCAATCATTGTGAACAATTTTTCTGAGTTTTACAAGGAGCAGAAACGTCAAGAGAAGGCAATTAAAAGGAGAGAGGCTCTTGAACGAGCCAAAAGGAATGGAAGCATCGTCTCTATGAACTTAAAAGACGCCTTCGCTCGAAGTATGGAATTGATCGATGTGGCTGTGGAGAAGGCTGGAGAACCGGCCAAAACTAAGGACTCGGCAGACGATAATCACCTGTCTCCCAGCCGGTGGAAGTGGGCCAGGAAGGCTCTATCCGAAACCAGCTCCAACAAGTCTTATGAAAATAAGTACCAGGAGGTTAGTCAAAAAGACTCTCATGAGCAGCTGAACAACACTTCTGCCTCTAGCCCACAACATCTGAGTGCCCAGAAACTGGAGATGCTGTACAATGAGATCACCAAGACACAGCCTCACTCTCACCTCAACGCGAACAGCCAAGAACAGCCCGAGAGGCCATCTGTCTATGAAGAAGAGATCGAGATGGAGGAGGTGGTCTGCCCACAGGAGCAGCTGGCTGTTGCGCAGACCGAGGTCATCGTGGACATGAAAAGCACCTCCAGCATTGACAGTTTCACCAGCTGTGCCACCGACTTCACCGAGACCGAGAGATCACCTCTGCCACCGCCCTCTGCTTCTCACCTGCAGATGAAGTTCCCCCCGGACCTCACAGGGACAGAGGAGCACCAAAGAGCCCGGGGGCCCCCTTTCCTAACACTCACCAGAGAGAAAGGCCCTGCGGCCCGGGATGCCACCCTAGAATATGTCCCAGTCGATATAACTGGGAACCTCGATGCCAGCAGTTCCCAAAGTGGGCTCCATGGCCCTGTGCCGTCTGACAATGCCGCAGAGAGCCCGAAGAGCTCGCTGAAAGGCAGCCACTCACTGAAATCCAGGTCGCTCAAAGTGAATTTTAAGGAAAACAGAGGCGGTGCCCCACAGACCCCACCCAGCACAGCCAGGCCGCTGCCCGTCATGGCAGCTGACTTTCCCATCACCACCCCTCAGCTCATCAGTACCATCCTGTTAGAAGAAAACCCCTCACAGAGAGATAGACCCTTGCTAAGCACTGAGGTCTCAGCACATTGTCAGGGTCCTTCCAGAGGGGCTGTCCCTCGGTTTCCTAAGCAGAAACTCTTTCCTTTCTCATCAAGAGAGAGGAGGAGCTTCACAGAAGTGGATACTGGGGAAGACAATGACTTCTTAGAGCTCCAAGGAACTAGGCAGGACATACAGGCCGACTCCAGCCCCAACTGCTTTGCAGAAAAGCCTAGTGATGGGAGAGACCCTTTAAGAGAAGAGGCCTGTGCGGGCTCTTCTTCTCCCCAGAACACAAGTCACAACTGTAGGCAAGACATTTACCATTCTGTGGCTGAAGTTAAAAAGGACAATAGTCAAGAAGGGTGCAAGATGGAAAACCACTTGTTTGCCCCAGAAATTCATTCCAACCCTGGAGATACAGGTTATTGTCCCACACGTGAAACCAGCATGTGACCAGTTACAAAAGCAATAAAATTAAAAAAAAAAAAAAACTTGTTTCTTAAAAATGCAGTTAATAATGCCTGTGAACTAAAACATGGGAAGCTCCCCTTCCAAAAATAAGTGCATAAAATGTTATTTTTGCATGGCATGAGCAGTTTAGTTTAAGTACTGTTTAAACAAAGAGTCAAGACTGCATTTTGTAACAAACAAACAAAAATGACTGAGGAACAGTGACCAAATAAAGAGGCTCTGTTAGGAACCAATATTCTGCAATGTCTGACATTTGTGATCCTTTCATTTCAAATTGTAGACAAATTTTCCACTTACCACTTTTCTGTTACAATGAAATTTAGAATTTGCACATGAAAGGATGAAATGTCATTGCATGCATTCATAATTATGAGGAGCAAGGTGCTCTGAGCTTGCAAAATGCCTAACTTTGTCAATATTGGGGCCTGGGATGCAAAAGTGTCAAGAACCTATGGAAAGAAGTTTCTGAGACACAGGTACTTCCTTCATAGCTACTGCCTGGAGGAGCTGTACAGACTTCTTGTTGCAAATTTGCAACCTCTTCTTAAACCATCTTCCATATCTTGCTTTGGGTTATTAAGCTCTTCTAAGTACATTTGTTGAAAGGAATATAGTATTTTTATTTCCTTATGATATAATTCCCAGAGCACATTTTTCTTTTCTGCTCCTGCTTTTGTGCTTTTATTTATAAATCATGAACATAAGAAAGATTTAATGACCAGATATCAAACTTTTGGAATTTAAGCTTGAAATTTTGCCAACCAGTTGTATATCATGCCATTGTGTATTACCAAAATGCATCTTTTTAAAAACCTGAAAATATGGAAAAGGTCCTATCATACAGCTAAACTTCTTTTTTAATGGCACCCCACATTTGGAGCTAAGTTTGGGGTTCTTTTCTAAAAAATTGTATATTGGCCATCTAAAGATAACTGTATGTTCCACTTGAACCCAACATAATCCTTTCTATCTAAAGATCTAAAGATAAAATGTAGATATGCCACATGGGAATTCCAAAAAGTGACTATTAGCAAACTAAAAGCAGAGCTATTTAAATGAGAGTGCCACCTCCCACCCTTCATAGGTAGAGTTAGGTTTGGAAAAGAATTACCATAAAAAACACCCTGACCTGTGAATGGGCCACCTAGTATTTCCCAATGCGGGGAGGGCACACTGCCACTTTGGAAGGGTCACAAATGCCAGCAGCACCCACCAGTAATTACAGGAACTGGAACACCCCTCCACGTTTCCGTCTCCAAGGGAGATCAGCATTACCCTTGTGGAAACCTCTTCTAGAATTTTCTACTGAGAACAGCGGAATCCAGAGGAGGAAGGCCCTTGTTGGTGGTTGCCTTGCTGGCTAAGTTTGGCTAGGACCCAAGTTGTTTGAATCCACTTCACAGGAAACCAAAGCTCAGGCTCCAGATATGCAACTGCCAGAAGTGTGCTTCAAAAACCCCCTCTTGGTCTCAGTTTTGCCCCAGTAAAAACTAAGACAATTAAAAAATTACTCCCAAGCTCCTTTAAACCTTCAAATTAATATAATTCGTTGGTTTCTCAGGAACGCCCAAGTTCTGCCTCAGCATAATGCATTTTGTGTGTGTGCACACGCACACACAAGGAAATGGGAAAATTCTGGGCCAAATTTAAAGCACAACTTTTTGTTTAAAGAAAGAAAATATTCTAAATTTTATTCTATTTTTTTAATTTAAAAAGCACTGGAAAAAGACAACCCAAATATATAGAATCTAACTTAAGGAATAACATTTCTTTATTAACAGAATCTGGTCATTATATCTCAGATAAGAAAACAAGTCTTGATCCTACTTGAAATCCAAGCAGCTCTACTGCTAAGAAGGATTTTAAACATTTTTTTTTTTTAGTGTGCTTAGAATTTCCTAATGACTTTCATGTTTGTTTCAAAACATAACCTTTAAGAATTTATCATCCTTAATCATTGATATTTACATCACTCATACTTATTTCAGAGTCTAAAACTAAATGTTGGTCAGTTTTTTTAAATCTAAAGTGTTTGAATTATATATATATATATGAATTATATATATATATGTATATATATATATATATAGTTTTTCAAGTCAAACAGGTATATCTGCTGTTAGAGGAATAGCAAATAAGTTATGCAAGTCATTTTTATATCAAATCTCTAGAAGCAATTATTTTCTAATGTCTCCATTTTGTTGAATCACAAATTTTTAAAATGTGTCTGTACAAGTGGATGTGTCTTACTGCCCTCACAATTCACTAAGGTCTACCTTTCATGGTCCATTAGGCCTTCCCCTGAGAACCCTGCTCCAGAATGCTTCATATTAGAAATCTTCCCTACATTAGGAATCCTAGGCATTCCCCTCTGGAAGCATTTTCTTGCTAAAAACTTTTTCCCCTTTAATATTTTTGAAGTTTTAAATAATTGTCAAGAACATCCTGTGGAAAGCCTAGCCTTTGATTCTTAGCCCCTCCAAGCCAAAGGTCTTCAGCTAGGGAAAAAATAAAATGCTCCTCTCAAAACACTTTGACTTTGGTGTTTTACAGGGAGGCAGCTCGGGAACTGAGGGCTCCCAGAATGAACTTGGGCAGCGCTTCCTAAACCTTGTCAACGAACTCACCTGACACAGATGAACGTGAATGCCTGGGACAGTCTGGGAATGTACCAAGCACAGAGTTCTTTTAAAATCTTATGTTTTACATTAAAAATTTATGGAAATGCTGCATTTCACTCTATAGCATATGTTTCAATATAAAACAAACCATGTCTTATATTACTTATCCACTAGTAAAATTGATTGATACTCCTAACTTCCAATACCTCTTTTGTTCCCTTTGGAAAACGTATCCCTAGTTTGAGAAACACTGCCTAGGTGTGGGGAACATAGATGGGTTCCCTGAGGGGCTGAAGGTTTCTGCTGCTGGAAAAGTGCGCTCGTCAGTACTTATGTCAGTGATCAGGGACAAATGCCAAGTAGAGACCATTTGAATGAACTCAAAATAATAATCTTTGATTCTTCGGGCTGTTTTGACAACCAGTGCAAATTGCCACAAGAATGTTTTAGCTCAAAGACTGAGATCAACCTTAAAAGGATAGAAATGGGTGCACAAATAAATGTAATTGGTTAGATCACAAATACAAGAGTGACAAACTAAGTACATCCCTGGACTTGACCTAGTAAGTCTATAAACATTTTCACTAGAAATGTCTCCACTCTGGCACAACTAACTGCTTTGAAACAAGCATTAAGATAACCACTATCCTGATGTCACTAGGTATGGTAACAAGAAGAATAAGGTTCAAGTGTCTGTTCCATTAATTTCTTGTCAAAACAGTCTCACATGTAGACACAGGCTGAGGAAAGGCATCAATGCAACTATTATCTCTTAGAATTTGTATAGCAAAAAAAGCCTTATGTATGTAAAGTACTTTATAGTTTCTTGTTGCTCTTAGTCCTCATAACAACCTCCTGAAATACATATAATATTATTTATCATGGAAGGGCCAGAGAAGTTATATATCTTGCTCAAGTTCACACAGGTCACTGGGAAATCATAGAGCCTAGCCTCATTCACATCGTCTGGCTTCAAGTTAGACATTCCACTATACCACAGTATGTTTGATTAGGTTTTCTTTTGGCGGGGGAGGGTGGCTGGGGTCTATTAATACCTGAAATTATATAAGTAAAACTAGGGGTACATTTAGAGTCAAACAGTTCGTTTAAAGCAACAATGAATCAGACCAAATGGTAATGACCAAAGATAAATGCATCTTTAGCTCATGTTTGCCACTTTAGAATTTTGGTCATAAGATACTCGTTCCTGTTAAAGAAGAGAATTCATAGCTCATGATGTACCATGACATGCACACTAAGCAGAAGACTAAATGAAGCCACTTGATTTTCTGAAACAAAAAAAAAAGTAGACTTTAGAACTACTTCTAGTCAAATTTCAAAAATAATCAAATTTGTCATTTCACTGTTCATTCATTCAGCAAATATTAAGTAAACACCCCCCTATTATTAAACACTAGGTGAGTACCCCTATGTTCTACAGAAGGCACTATGCTTGGTGTTAGGGTACAACCCCAGCCTCATGGAGCTTCCTGCCTGTCCCATTTAAAATCAGCCTAAGGATCATTTCAGTTACTGGAAAATGTCTCTTCTCTGTATGGGAAAAAAAATCACTCGATTATCAAACCAAGAAAGTGCACGACAGGAATAAATGAGATGCTTTTCCAACAAACTTTTCCTAAGAAAATTATAGGTGATATAAATGAAGTCTGATCCATAATTATTTTTGAATCACAGTTTTGATTTACACTTGAGATGAAGTGTTGGTCTGGTTGAATGAGGTTGTATATTGTCTTTTCTTATTCTGATAAATTGAAAAGTAATTTTTGAATTCAATATGTTGCTTGTCAAATAGCTAGTAATAATCTATAATAACTAGGATGAAATTTAATACCAGTGAAAATCTATAGCAAACTTTATATTTTAATAGTGTATTGATGGTTATGTAGTTAAAAACAAAGCATTTTAATGGTTGCTCTTACTTCCTATTGACTGTAGGCAACATTTTAGCAGTGTACCAGTATTTTCTATTAGTCCCCTGAATTTTAAATGGAAAATGTTTAAAATTCAGTATCTAAAAATAATTTAGCTTGAGTCAAGGGATTTATTCACCAGGTCCATGTGAATTTGAAAATATATTGGGTATTTTTCCACTGCCACCATCCTCACCAAGGAAAGAAGGAAGGAAAGAAGAAAGGAAGGAATGCCTAAATTTAAAAATTTAAACATTCAAAGGCCCATCCCTAATAAGAAAGAGGAAAGGTCCCAACTCCAGAATCTTGATGAACATTCTATATTACCAAAGTTATTGCTTATTGTAATATAATGCTATTCTTCAGTGGTTTAAGTAACCTTTTTTTCCACTGGCATTTTGAAAACAATCTGACTTAATTATATAAATCT